AAAAAAAATACATCCGTGACAAAAAACAACTCACTGATTATTATTATAATGATGACTGTTGTCGTGACCGTATGATGGCATGTCGTAATCCAATGGTAACGAATTACCCCTAATTGATACAAGAGGAGGAAATTGTGATGGCAGTGATAATGGTGGAGGTGGCGGCGGAACGGCTGCAGCTAGTGAAGGTGCTTGTGAAGGTGCTATCGTCGAGCCACTGCTGATTGTCGAAGTGCTGACCGACGACGTCAAAGTGTTGGCGTTGACACCAGAACGAACTCTGGAACGGTGTAGATGCAGCTGATGGGTAGAAAATGTGCTTGTAAAAGAATTAAACGAGCAGAGAAAGAGAGCGTGCGAAAATTCAGTTTTTGAAGGCAGAAAGGGTAATTTTTAGGAGTTGAGAACAATAATTTTTCCAAAAGATGAATTCCAGTGTGAGATGTAAAAGCAGGCAACAAGTGTGGAGAGATTATAAATGCAGGATTGTGAATAACATACGACATATAAATGATTCTCGGGCTAAAGGAGAAGAAAGAAACATTTTCAAAGGAAGCAGGTCAAAATAAAGAAAATGAAGCAGGAAGGGACCACAAACCAACACCTATTCATCACTTGTATCTTTCAGAATTGCTCAAAGTTCCCTTTGAGTCAATAAAATAAGATTTACATCACTATCCTAACGTTTATCTCGTGTATCCGGCTGTTTTGATAACAAGCGGCTCAGACAGACAACTCGAAAACAGATCAACCCGGAAACTGGAGTCAAAAACCGCAAAAAAGTCAGAAAACAGTTTGTTCTCGACAGAAAAAAAAGAGTATTATGACAGTGTCGGTCCTAGGATCCCCGCTCGGGGTGCATGTGACAAATTTTTCGGCGCCTCTAGCGCCACGATCTTTTATTCGAAGAAAATTTTTGACGTGCCCCGAGCGGTAATAATCCTAAGACCAGCACTGTTTTATATATGTTTCTAAATGGTTGTCAAAACTTTTGCAGGTCCATAACCCCCAAATTTGTAATAAAAGGACATACCAGATCCCAAGCCCCGAAAAAGACTTTTCATACTAGGCTATCATTCCGAAAATTCTTGATAGCAGGAATGAATAAATTACTTGCTCCTTTTCATGATTTTCTAGAAGCTTAGCACCTTTTCGCGAT